GAGGTTTCACAATGTTGTCAAGGCTGGTCTGGAACTCTTGAGCTCAAACAATCCACCTACCTTGACCTCCCAAAGTGTTGGGATTACAGGCTTCAATGGTTTTTAATGTATTCATGGAGTTAGACACCTGTCACCATGATCCAAATTTAGCACATTTTTATCATCCTACAAAGAAGTCCTGTACTCATTGGTAGTGCTATTCATTTCCTCCAACCCTCTCAGTTCTAAACAACAACTAATCTACCTTCTGTCCCTGGTGAATTGCCTATTCTGGACCTTTAACATAAATAGAATCATAAAGTCTGATTCTTCTGTAAGTTGCTTCTTTCATTTAGCATACTGTTTTCAAGGTTCATCTATGATCAAGCACATAAAATAAGTACTTCTCATTTTTTTATTGCCAAATAACATTATGCTGAATAACATTCCATTGTATGATTTTTAAAAATCATATCTATTCGTCAGTTGATCGACATTGTGTTTGTCACATTTTAGCTAACAAATGTGAACATTTTTGGCTATTTTGGCTAAGAAATGCTGCTTTGAATGATTGTACAGGTTTCCATGGGGACATAGGTTTTTACTTCTTTTGAGACTATCCCTAGGAGGGGAATGGCTGGGTGATGTGGTAACTCTGTGTTAGATCTTTCTAAGATCTGCCAGACTGTTTTCCAGAGCATCTGCACCATTACATTCCCACCAGCAATGTATGAGGTTTCCAATTTCAATAGTGTTTTAATGATGAAAACAAATGAAGATGCTGCAGGTGTATTGATTAACTCCTCTAAATTATGTGAGTTTTTTCTAGTTGCAATGAAGGAAGATTTTGAAAATTCAGTTTATCAAGAAAAATATTGCACTCTCCCAAAGTGCCAGAATTGCTAGCAGGGAGAAGTTTAGATCTTTAAACCATCTAGCTCAGAGTCAGGGAAAACATGAATGCTTTCACCTGTTTCCATTTGTAACTTAATTTTAACTTCTATTCAGCGGCTTTGGTTAAATAAGGACATGTGAACTATTTTTATGTGGATAACAGTTATCATCTGGGTTTTCATAATGGTGAAGCTATCAAACTATTCATTGGAAGACATGACTTTTCTCTGAAGTTAAAACTAGAAAAAAAATCTGAGTCTTTTCTCGTTCTGTCCCCTGGGCTGGAGTGCTGCAATGCAATCATAGATCACTGCAGCCTTGAACTCCTGGGCCCAAGAAATTCTCCTACCTCAGTCCTCTGAGTATCTGGGACTACAGGTAGTCATTACCATGCCTGGCTAATTTTTAAAAAAATTTTCATAGATGGGGGGGTCTTGTTTTGTTTCCCAGGCTGGAAACAAAACTTCTGGCTTTAAGAGGTCCTCCATCCTTGGCCTCCTAAAATGCTGGGATGATAGGTGTGATTATTTGGCACCTGACCAAAACCTAAATCTTAATGCAAAGAATTCATAAAGTATTCCTACCCATATGATCTAATTCCTGGTAGGTCCTCATGCCACTTTGAAAAACAGCTTAATCAAGTGTCAGTAATGATTTCACATCTGTTAAAAGTAGAAATCAAATATACCATCCTACATGCCAAGACTTTAGAAACAAATATAAAAGGAGAAATCTCTGTATTGTAGGATGGATATGAGAATTATAAGTTCATTGATCAGAGATTACCTGTTCATGAATCCTAATGAGAGATCCCATTTGGTGAACATTTAGCTAATAACTCAGCAGCTGCAGAACATTATTACTTAATCTACTTATTTCCAAAGATATGTCACCTATGGGCTACAAACAAAAATGCAGGCCAAACAAATAAATTGGTCTCTATGTTTCTAATTATTTCAAATTAATGACAGAATGTACAAAAACAATATTCACCTATGAGCCCCCTGTATTCCCAATATAATGCTGAGTCCAGATCATCAGTGACAAGACATCTTGGAGAATAAAAGCAATTAGGCAGATAATTAAAGGAAAAGTAATCATTCATCCTCTCCTCCCTTTTTACCTCTTTATCTCTTCAATTATCAGAAAATTAACATGAATATTTTTTCTTTAAAAAATGAACTGTATGAGGAATTGCTTTAATTTTCTGCTTGATTTTTCCAGAAAGTCCCACCAAATGAGAAGTCAACTAAAAAGATTTGTTTACTACCCAAAATGGTTAATTTAGGGATTGATAAAGCATCCACATTTCCATGTGTAGAAAACTGTATCAAAAGCTTCTACCTGCTTGGGAATCATCTGGGACTTAAGATACAACTCTTTTAACAACTAAATGTATGTTTATTGATTGTTTCCTGGACCAAAAAGAAAAAAACTATAACAAATAGTTTTGTATCAGTTGGGGAAATTTGAAGACGGATTGTACACTAGATGCTACTACGGCAGTGTTTTTTAATATCCTTGAGTTGAATAATGATACTGTGATGATGTGTGGGATGCATGCTGAAATATTAAGGGGTCAAGTGTTGAGTGAGCTACAATTTACTTCCAAATCATTCAGCCAAAAGATACAAATAAAAAGACTGACAATAAAAAAAATATGGCAAAATAATGACAGTGGAGAGTTTCGGTCAGGAGTAAGTAGGTATGGCTTCTTTCCACTTCCGTAGGGTCGAAATTTCTCAAAACTAATATGGGGAAGGGATGGGAAGAAAACACACTCTTGCTTCCTGTGAGAAATCTAAATATCCTTTAAATTCTGCCTTAAATGCTACTCTGTGTGTATGTATGAAATTTTATCTATGCCATGTGAACTCTGCCTCTCTGAGTTACTATAACACTTTTTGGCTAGCTACTGAATTACTAATTAGTCAGGATGTGTTCCCATAAAATATCTGTTAATTGATGAATTGATTGATGTAGGTGTGAAGTTCCTACAATCAGTCTCTAAGGAAGATTTTTAAGAGCTGATAATATCAAAGATAACAATGACAGCTACCATTAATCACATGCTCATTGTATGCCTGGCATAGGGTTAAACTTTCACATAAAGCATGTTATATTATTTCACTTACTTTTGATGTAGATTCCTGGATTTTCTAATTAGTCATGAAAACAAAATTCCGATGTACCTAAGTGAAGCAGTTCTTAGTACATCATCGTATTAAAAATGTGTGAACCCAGGATGTTTGCATTCCTTGGGTGTCACACAATTGAGAGATTTTTAATAGAGTCTGTGTGACTTTAAAGCCTACAGAACAAACCATTGATATAATAAAGCTACTGAGAAATAATTTGGGCAGGACAATGCAGCTGCTCTATTTATGTATGGTGATTTCACTTTCAGGGCAAACAGCAGTGGCATAACCCTGAGGTGATCAGCATCTCAATTTATCAGCGTGCTAGGATGAAAGCTTTGTAGATCCCAGATTTGCCCAGCAACCTACTGAATGCTTTTCCAAATTATCCCTATCAATGGGTAAAATTAATTAATAGGAAGAAACCTGGGGTGTATTTCCAGGATGGAGGATTGTCTTTTCTGTCTACATAAAACTGTTTAAATAATATCCCATGGTTGCTATAGCAGGTATCCTTAACTCATAACATTCAAGGAAGAATTCCTTAGGCAAAACATTATATAAAACCGTGAGGAGTCTATGGGGATAATTATACAAGTAGCTACTGGCAAGACAATTTGTCACAGCAGCACTGAGGATAAACTTGGGTTGGACATGGTTATTAAGAAAATCATTGAAATGGATATTGTAGAAATAGGAAGTCATTGGAACTTTTAAGAAAATGATAAAGAATACAATTATTACCTTTGGCCTCAGTGTCTTAGCTGTGTGATGTTATCTTTAGGTAATCAAATAATTATAAAGTCATTAAAATATGTGATAATTTTCTAATAACAAATTGTAATGATGTATTGTTGAATGACATAACTTGTGGAAGAGAGAATGTGTTTACTCATATTTTTGAATGATTTACTTTGATTAGTAAAGTTATGTGGCTATACACAAAGCAGAGTAAAAAATATTTTTATAAGACAGATTCTCTTTTTGTTTTAGAAGATTTCTGTAGTAATTCAGATGGCCCTTAATTGAAAAAAAAAAATAGACTCAAATACTAGGACCATTTTGGCTTTTGACCCTGGTGTTTCTCCTCCTCAGTAATGTCTGTCTACATAGGACAAAATAATTTGGTAAAGCAAACAGAATATGGACGCAAGTTGACTTGTCTTTGGCTTGTCCTGGAGTAGATATGTAAATAAGGAGCCAGAATGTTGGCACATTCACAAGGCTGAAAACTGCTATGAAGTGTAGCCTTCTCAATCCAACATCATCTCTTCTTCCATGTGTTACACTGGCTTTTTCAGTGCTTTCGACCTACCAAGTTATTTCCCATGTTACATCCTTTGCATGTAACTCCCTCTGCCTACAGTAATTTTAAACTTCCCATTCATGGGCTTTCACGTCCTCTATGCCTTGGCTGAAATGTCACCCTCTCAGGGAGGTCTTTTCTGAACCTCATACCATCTAAAACCCTTCATATGCATGCTTTTTATTTTCTATTCTCATGTACTGTTCATTTCCTTAACAGAAGTTATTACAACTTAAAAATATTTCATTTTAGTTGTTTGTTAATTTTTTGATCATTTGTCTCTTTCCTGTCTTTCCCACTATTTTTTACGATCTATGAAGGCAGGATCCATGCATTTCTTATTCAATATTACATCTTGGGCATGCAACAGAGAGTGCAGGGATGGTGGATACTACATAGATGGAGGCTAAATGAATGGACTAAATTGAATGAATAGTTTGGTCTGAATTAGGGAAGACTCAGACAGTCAACAACTCTTCAACTAATATGTTAGGGTAGGCTGGTTAGGCTATGATAAAAACTAGTTGCAAGCACATTATGACTTAACACAATTCAAGTTTGTTTCTCACTTATGAAACAGCAAGAGTAGGGTGGTGTTCTAAGTCAACAGGGGTGAGGGCTGAGTGACTACATCAACTCTGACATCACAAATGGCTCCAAGCTCTACCAAAAACACAAAATTACCTGGGCATGGTGGCATGCACCTGTGGTCCCAGGTACTCAGGAGGCTAAGGTGGAAGGATCACTTGAGCCAGGGAGGCAGAGGTTGCAGTGAGCCAAGATAACGCCAGTGCACTCCAACCTGGGTGATAGAGTGAGACCCTGCCTCAATAAAAAGAAAAAAAAAAAGAAAGAAAATGCTGTTTTGGCAGGTCAAGTAAGACTTCCTTGAGAATGTTGAAAGGAAGCTTTGTCCTGAATGATGTGCAGTGTAATGGTTAATAGTAAGTGTCAAGTTAATTGGATATTAAGTGTCAAGTTAATTGGATATTAATTGGTTGGATTTGGTGTGAAGTATTGTTTCTGGGTGTGTCTATGAAGGTGTTGTCAGAGAATAACATTTGAGTCAGTAGACTGGGAGAAGAGGACCCACCCTCAATGTGGGTGGGCACCATCCAACCTTCTGCCAGCCAGGCTAGAAAAAGCAGGCAGAAAAAGGAGAAACTGACTTGCTAAGTCCTCTGTTTTTCATCTTTCTCCCGTGCTGGATGCTCCCTGCCCTTGAACATCAGACTCCAAGTTCTTTAGCCTTTGAACTCTTGGACTTAGACCAGTGGTTTGCTGAGGGTTCTTGGGCCTTTGGCCATAGACTGAAAGCTGCATTGTCAAATTCCCTACTTTTGAGGTTTAGGGACTCTGACTGATCCACCACTGGCTTCCTTGATCCAAACTTGCAGACGGCCTATCGTGGGACTTCACCTTGTGATCATGTGAGTCAATTCTCCTTAATAAACTCCCTTTTATATATAAATATATCCCATTAGTTCTGTCCCTCTGGAGAACCCTAACAAGCAGGAAGTAGGAAGGCAAAGAATTGGGAAGAGGGAACATTTGATGAGGGAGGAAAAGAGGTGCTCCAGGTGGGAAAAGGTGTGCAAGTGCTTAGAGAAACTTTGCCAATGTCGCAGTGGAACAGAAAAAAAATGTATTAAGTGCCATCTTGGAGCTTCTATAGAAACACATGCCCTCCCCATGTCAAAGAACCAATGATAATCATAGGTTGAATTAGAGACGGAGGAAGATTGGAGACCTGGGCCACATTCAGGGCCCCTGGGAGGGTCAGGAGAAGAAGGGATGGTAGTGCAGAGGGCAGCAGTTCTCAAGATCTCTTCACCCTAAAGGTTGCTGAGGATTCCAAAGTGCTCTTGTTTATGTGCATTATAGCACTCAAATTTGCCATGTTAAAAATTAAGATGGGTGGCTAACTCCTGTAATTCTAGCACTTTGGGAGGCTGAGGCAGGCAGATCACCGGAGGTCAGGAGTTCGAGGCCAATCTGGCCAACATGGTGAAACATCATCTTTACTAAAAATATAAAAATTAGCCAGACTATGGTGGTGTGCCCCTGTAGTCTCAACTACCCCAGAGGCGGAGGCACAAGAACCATTTGAACCCAAAATGCAGAGGTTGAAGTGAGTCAAGATCACGCCACTGCACTCCAGCCCAGGTGACAGAACAAGACCCTGTCTCAATAATAATAATAATAATAATTAGGATGGAAAATTTATGAAAATATGTATTTTTAATTAACTTAGAATAATAATATAAATCCATTCATTAACATATGTAATATCATTATTAATTTTTTTTTATTTTTTATTGGATTTTAGGTTTTGGGGCACATGAGCAGAGCATGCAAGACAGTTGCGTAGGTGCGCACATGGCAGTGTGCTTTGCTTTGCTTCTCCCCTTCACCCACATTTGGCATTTCTCCCCAGGCTATCCCTCCCCAACTCCCCCTCCCACTGGCCCTCCCCTTTTCCCCCCAATAGACCCCAGTGTTTAGTACTCCCCTTTCTGTGTCCACGTGTTCTCATTTTTCATCACCCGCCTATGAGTGAGAATATGCGGTGTTTCATTTTCTGTTCTTGTGTCAGTTTGCTGAGGATGATGTTCTCCAGATTCATCCATGTCCCTACAAACGACACGAACTCATCATTTCTGATTGCTGCATAATATTCCACAGTGTATATGTGCCACATTTTTCCAATCCAATCGATTATCAATGGGCATTTGGGTTGATTCCAGGTCTTTGCTATTGTAAACAGTGCTGCAATGAACATTTGTGTACATGTGTCCTTATAGTAGAACGATTTATAGTCTTTTGGATATATACCCAGTAATGGGATTGCCGGGTCAAATGGAATTTCTATTTCTAAGGCCTTGAGGAATCGCCACACTGTCTTCCACAATGGTTGGACTAATTTACACTCCCACCAACAGTGTAAAAGTGTTCCTTTTTCTCCACATCCTCTCCAGCATCTGTTGTCTCCAGATTTTTTAATGATCGCCATTCTAACTGGCGTGAGATGGTATCTCAATGTGGTTTTAATTTGCATCTCTCTGATGACCAGTGACGATGAGCATTTTTTCATATGATTGTTGGCCTCATATATGTCTTCTTTTGTAAAGTGTCAGTTCATATCCTTTGCCCACTTTTGAATGGGCTTGTTTGTTTTTTTCCTGTAAATCTGTTTGAGTTCTTTGTAAATTCTGGATATCAGCCCTTTGTCAGATGGGTAAGCTGCAAAAATTTTTTCCCATTCTGTTGGTTGCTGATTCACTCTAGTGACTGTTTCTTTTGCTGTGCAGAAGCTGTGGAGTTTCATTAGGTCCCATTTGTCTATTTTGGCTTTATCATTATTAATTAATAATAACTATGTTTTCTGAGAAAGCAAAACAGAAAAAGTTAAAAAAATGGTATTATGTTTGTAAATCGCCTTAATATCTGGAGTAATGAAAGACAGCTGGACTCTTATGGATGCCTCTACATTTGATGTGCCTTTTATACTGTGTTGGTTGAAAATGAGGAAAATCTGGCTATTAGAAATATGAGGTTGAAAACAGAGAAGTATTTTAAATAAGCACAAATAAGGGTTTTAGATTATTGCAGATATTGTTCTGCAATTCTAAATATGCCAAAACCCCACAGGTGGTAGTTTCTTAAAGATTAGTCCCCATGTGAAAAATCTGAAATCTTACCAGTGAACTTTTCATGATGTTACACTAAGTTTCATTGCACTATATTGCATCTTTCAATGGATCTTTCATCCATGTTTGATTTTGTAACATGGTACATTAGGTTACTTAGAAAATACTGACTCACTGAGTTATGTAGATCTTTTAAATGTATCATTTTATTATTGAATACTTTAAAAGCACATGTGTGACTATCACCACCAATCTCATCAGAAAATCCCTTAGATTTTGAGAAACTATAGCTCACGCAGCGGTGGATACAAGTTTTCCAAAATTCAAATTTTCACCTAAAAGTTAATTTTTAAAAAATCTTTAGTCATAGATACTTTCAGTGCTTTCCTACTTCCGTTTTCATTTTTGAGAAAATACCTGCCAAACAACCAAATCTGGATGATCATAGTCAATTCTGTGAAAAATACAGTGAGTTCAGTTGTAGTTCAATTCACGACTTAAACAATTGTCCAAGTGCTTCATACCAAGTATATTATGTGTACTTTCCATTTCATCTAACAGAATATTAAAAGGTTGTATTTTATTTACATGACCACTCTCCAGTTGCAGCCACTATCCTTGTGGTGGCATGATGTTCTCCATTTCTCTGCTTTATCCTGCTGTACTGGGCTTGGAAATGACCATGCCACCCTACTTCCTTCATAAAGGTGCTTCAGAAAGTGGTTATAGAAAAACATAAGCACGGATTCTTCTCTTAAGCACTCTCTACAAAGCTTAAGGCAGAATGAATTCAGAGTCTCCTATATTAGCATGAAGTGATTTTTCAAGGAATCAGACTAACTTCTGAAAAGTGATCATTCTTTAAATTAAGAGAAAATAAAACAGAACTTGCATGCTTCCATAGCATGGTAATTGTAACATAGTATGTGCTTTAGTTTTCATAATGTATACTCTTTATGAATACATTTTCATTTTAAGCTCTTTAATTCCTGTTGGGCTATAAGTCTTTGAAGCAAAATTTCTATGTGAGAATTCTTCACATCCTTTAGGGAACAAATTAAAAGGAATACCTCAATTTCACTTTTTCAAATTTCTTGATGGAAAAAATCCAAAATCATGTACATGAAACTTTAAGCTATTTAATATTTTTATTATGTCTTGGCAGAGGAAAACTCATAATATTTCCTCTTGATTAAAGATCAAGACATGATAAAAATATTAAATACATTAAAGAAAAATCATTGGAATAAGAAAAATGAGAAATCCAAAACTTATTTTGTTCTCGCTATTCGAATTTTAAACCAACAGACTCATGAAAATTGTTCTAAGGCAATTCCCTATAAAGTCTATGGCACCTAAAATTTATGCAAAAATCTTGCAAAATTATTGCTACAAACTTGCAGTTATAAAACCCAGATGCAATGATCTACTTCGAGAATGGATTACTTAACACTTATCCTGAATTACATTCTGCTGTACAGAGGTTAAATTACATTATAAGATGGGCAGTTTGAAAATGCAAATACAGGCCGGGAGCAGTGGCTCACACCTGTAATCTCAGAACTTTTGGAGCCTGAGGTGGGCGGATCACCTGAGGTCAGGAGTTCCAGACCAGCCTGACCAACATGGGAAAACCCCGTCTCTATTAAATACAAAAAATTAGCTAAGGGTGGTGGCACATTCCTGTAATCCCAGCTACTAGGGAAGCTGAAGCAGGAGAATCACTTGAACCTGGGAGGGTGAGGTTGCAGTGAGCAGAGATTGCGCCATTGCTCTCCACCTGGGCAATAAGAGTGAAACTCCATCTCAAAAAAGAAAAGAAAAGAAAAGAAAAAGAACATGCAAAAATCTCCTTAGTATCACTAATGTGTAGTAAAGTGACTATCAGAGCAACTTAGCAGTGTCAATACTACAACTTATTTTGCCTGTTCTATAATAGCGAACTCTAATAATTTTCCATTAAAATTTTAATAATAAATATTTCATCATTAATGGATTTAATAAAATATAATATTTTTCTTTTATTCCAGAAATTTATTCTCTTAATGGTGATGTTTGGCTTTAGCCTCAGCATTATCTGAATATGGATTTTTAACTCTTGGTCATTCAACAGTCATCCAAACATTTATTCTGCAAGCTTCCAAACAAACTCACATGTATACGTGCTCTTTTTACACAAATGGCTTATTACTATAATACTGTTTAGAAAATAGTTTAATGATAACATAGATCTATCTCATTCTTTCTAACAGTTACATTTTATTATGTTGATATTCTCTAAAGTATGTAATCACTCTCCTAGCATTGGAAATCCAAGTCGTTTCTAGGTTTTTGTTTTTTATAAACGATGCTTAATGAACGTGGCTTTACATTTACCTTTGTGTACTTTTCCCAGCCAGTATATAAGTGTCATGTGTTTCTCGAGGTGGAATTGCTTTTTTCTGTGTGCATTTTAAACTTTGACAGATATTGCCAATAGCAAATAAAAATTGATTATGAGAAAGCTATTCCTCATATCCTTGAATAGCTTGTCACTGGTTTTATTTTCTGAAAAATATATTCAGCTTTGTTTCAAGGTTAAAAATGGTAACAAAAATGTTGGAGGTGCTGACTAGCCAGAGAAAGAAAGAGAGAGAGAGAGAGAGAGAAAATGTCTATCTATATATATATATATACATATATATATAGAGAGAGAGAGAGAAAATTCAATCTAATTAAAAATAATTTTAACTGTTGCTAACAAAAGTAAATTGGTAAATATTAATATATTTAATATCCTTTTCCTCTGTCATTTTTATTTCGCCAGTATTATCTTTTGAAGATACATAAAAACACCTTGCTCAGGTCTCTTATCTGGTAACTCTTTTGCCTTCTTTCCAACGGGCATCCACCAGATGTCTCCCCTCTCCATCAAGGTGTTCTTCTCACAAACGCCTATCACTTTCAGAAACACCTATTAGTGGAGTAAAACTCATAATATTTCCTGATAGAATTTGTCTTCTTTTTTTCAGGGCACAGATCATCTGTTTAAAAATAAAATAATGGCTTGACACTAATAGCATTTTTTTCCATTCTGGAAAACAAATAAGGACTGATACCCATAAAAGTAAAAAAAAAATTCAGAAAAGCATCATTACATAAGGGGATGATATGTACCTTAATAACATAAAATGATTTTACCTAAGAGAATCTACCAATTGAACTCATTTATTTGGGTATAATAAAGATATATACCCTTATAATTGAAATATATTTAACTCTGCTTACATTTATATGAAAGTTCCATTTAATACCTTCAGTGTTTCTCAAAGGTAATCTCTTTTTGGTATTGCCAAATTACAAATATTGAGTGTTTGATACATATTTTAATACCTTCTGTATCATTTGATTTAGGCAGGTGATTTATAAGAACAAAACCAAACCTCGACATTGACAAAGGAGCTGTGCCAGCCGAAGAGGAGGCAAGTAGAGCAGAGCCTCAAGTAACACAAGAGAAAATGCAGTTACTCAACTGAGTGTCGTATTCATAGCATCGTGCACCTAAACAGTCGTGGCGGAAGTGCAAACATGAGGAAACACACAGGCCAAAGAGCTCTTAAAATACAGTCAAATCATTTTCATGCTCAAAACAGAAACGTGGCAGAGGAAAAGAACCACATGAGTTCTTTTCTTTTTTTTTTTTTTTTTTTTTTTTTACCTCCTATTTTCCATTACCTTTTGCCTTTCTTATCTACCTGCAAAAAGTTTCTTTCGGATTAAGCTTGCAAAAGAAAAATGAAGTTGCATACGCCTTCCCTCTCCACCATCCCAAATCCTCTAATATAAGAAGATAACATTTGCATTCCTATTTTTCAGGGTATTACCTCATTTAATCCTCATGGCAGGCATTACTGAACTTAGAGGGGGAGGTTAAGGAACGTGTCTACACATACATTTGGGCAAACCAGAACTCCCAGCTCTTTCCACTGCAGAGCACCTACTCTACGTAGCAACTTTGCCTATGGTATCTCCAGGTCCCTAAATTTCTGGCTCTTCAAAAATAAAGATATTCATGACCATCCTGGGAAACATGGTGAAATCCCATCTCTACAAAAAATAGAAAAATTAGTCTGAAATGGTGGAGTGCACCTGTAGGTCCAGCTACTCAAAAGGCTGAGGTGGGAGAACTGCTTGGGCCTGGGAGGCAGATGTTGCAGTAAGTCAAGATCATGCTACTGCACTCCACAGTTTGGATGACAGATCAAGACCCTGCCCCAAAAATAAAGATAGATAGATAGATAAATAGAATTTAACTTTATAAAACCCACCACAATAAATTCTAGTGGATTAAAAAGTGCAATAAAAATGGTACTTCAAAGGAGAAAAAAATTGAATATTGATGTAATCTTTAATGTTAGAGATTTTAGAGGCACAGCACTAACAGCAAAAAAATAAAGGAAGAAAAAATAGACCTGTAGATAGGAACAATTTTTTCTTTGTTCTTTTAAACTTTTAATTGACAAATAATAATTGTATATGTTTTTGGGGTGCAGTGTGATGTTTTGATACATGTTTATAATGTGGAATGATTAAATCCGGTTGGTTAACAAATTATCACCTCACATACTTATCTTTTGTGGTGAAAACATGTGAAATCTACTCTTAGCTACTTTTAAATAAGCGACGAATGATTGTTTATTATTGTCACCATGCTATGCAATGAATTATTAAAACCACTCCTCCTGTCTAACTAATACTTCATATCCTTTGATCAACGTCTCCCTTCAACCATCTACACCCCTTCCTCAGCCCTTGGTAACTACCGTTCTCCTCTCTACTTCTTTAAGCTCGCCTTTCACATTTTCTTTATTCATTCTTCTGATGATGGACCCCTAGATCCGTTCCATATCTTAGCTATTGTGAATAACACTGCAATGAACATGGGAATGAACATCTTTCTTTTGCATATTAATTTAATTCCTTTCAAGATCTATCCAGCAGTGGGATCGCTGGATCGTATGGTTGTTATATATATATATATATTTTTTTTAATTTTTTATTGGATGATAGGTTTTGGGGTACATGAGCAGAGCATGCAAGACAGTTGCGTAGGTACACACATGGCAGTGTGCTTTGCTTTTCTTCTCCCCTTCACCCACGTTTGGCATTTCTCCCCAGGCTATCCCTCCCCACCACCCCTCCCACTGGCCCTCCCCTTTTCCCCCCAATAGACCCCAGTGTTTAGTACTCCCCTTTCTGTGTCCATGTGTTCTCATTTTTCATCACCCACCTATGAGTGAGAATATGCGGTGTTTCATTTTCTGTTCTTGTGTCAGTGTGCTGAGGATGATGTTCTCCAGATTCATCCATGTCCCTACAAACGACACGAACTCATCATTTCTGATTGCTGCATAATATTCCATGGTGTATATGTGCCACATTTTTCCAATCCAGTCTATTATCAATGGGCATTTGGGTTGATTCCAGGTCTTTGCTATTGTAAACAGTGCTGCAATGAACATTCGTGTACATGTGTCCTTATAGTAGAATGATTTATAGTCTTTTGGATATATACCCAGTAATGGGATTGCTGGGTCAAATGGAATTTCTATTTCTAAGACCTTGAGGAATCGCCACACTGTCTTCCACAATGGTTGGACTAATTTACACTCCCACCAACAGTGTAAAAGTGTTCCTTTTTCTCCACATCCTCTCCAGCATCTGTTGCCTCCAGATTTTTAATGATCGCCATTCTAACTGGCGTGAGATGGTATCTCAATGTGGTTTGATTTGCATCTCTCTGATGACCAGTGACGATGAGCATTTTTTCATATGATTGTTGGCCTCATATATGTCTTCTTTCGTAAAGTATCTGTTCATATCCTTTGCCCACTTTTGAATGGGCTTGTTTGTTTTTTTCCTGTAAATCTGCTTGAGTTGTTTGTAAATTCTGGATATCAGCCCTTTGTCAGATGGGTAGACTGCGAAAATTTTTTCCCATTCTGTTGGTTGCCGATCCACTCTAGTGACTGTTTCTTTTGCCGTGCAGAAGCTGTGGAGTTTCATTAGGTCCCATTTGTCTATTTTGGCTTTTGTTGCCAATGCTTTTGATGTTTTGTTGATGAAGTCCTTGCCTACTCCTATGTCCTGGATAGTTTTGCCTAGATTTCCTTCTAGGGTTTTTATGGTGCCAGGTCTTATGTTTAAGTCTTTAATCCATCTGGAGTTAATTTTAGTGTAAGGTGTCAGGAAGGGGTCCAGTTTCTGCTTTCTGCACATGGCTAGCCAGTTTTCCCAACACCATTTGTTAAACATGGAATCCTTGCCCCATTGCTTGTTTTTGTCAGGTTTATCAAAGATTGTATAGTTGTATGTATGTTGTGTTGCCTCCGGTGCCTCTGTTTTGTTCCATTGGTCTATATCTCTGTTTTGGTACCAGTACCATGCTGTTTTGATTACTGTAGCCTTGTAGTATAGTTTGAAATCCGGTAGTGTGATGCCCCCCGCTGTGTTCTTTTTGCTTCGAATTGACTTGGCTATGCGGGCTCTCTTTTGGTTCCATATGAAGTTCATGGTGGTTTTTTCCAGTTCTGTGAAGAAAGTCAATGGTAGCTTGATGGGGATAGCGTTGATTCTGTAAATTACTTTGGGCAGTATAGCCATTTCACGATATTAATTCTTCCTAACCATGAACATGGAATGTTTCTCCATCTGTTTGTGTCCTCTCTGATTTCGTTGAGCAGTGGTTTGTAGTTCTCCTTGAAGAGGTCCCTTATGTTCCTTGTGAGTTGTATTCCAAGGTATTTTATTCTTTTTGTAGCAATTGCGAATGGCAGTTCGCTCTTGATTTGGCTTTCTTTAAGTCTGTTATTGGTGTAGAGGAATGCTTGTGATTTTTGCACATTGATTTTATATCCTGAGACTTTGCTGAAGTTGCTTATCAGTTTCAGGAGTTTTTGGGCTGAGGCAATGGGGTCTTCTAGGTATACTATCATGTCGTCTGCAAATAGAGACAATTTGGCTTCCACCTTTCCTATTTGAATACCCTTTATTTTTTTTTCTTGCCTGATTGCTCTGGCTGGTTGTTATATTTTTAAATTTTTGAGGAACCTCCATACTGTTCTTTAAAATGGCTGTATTAATTTACATTCCCATAGACGGTCCACAAGGGCCCCATTTTCTTCACACCCTCGCCAACATTTGTTATCTTTTGTCTACTTGATAATAACCATTCTAACAGGTGTTAGGTAATATTCCATTGTGGTTTTAATTTGAATTTCTTTGATTATTAAAAACTTTTCCTCCAAGATTAGTAACCAGACAAAGATGTCCACACTCACTACCTTTATTCAACATAGTACTGGAAGTTCTAGCCAGAGCATTATATAAGAAAAGGCATTCAAATAGAAAGCAAAGAAGTGAGATTGTCTGTTTACTCGTGACATGATCTTATATATGGAAAACCCTAAAGACTGCACAAAAAAACGGTTAGAACTGTTAAACAAATTCGGTAAAGCTGCAAGGTACAAACAAAAATCTACAGTGTTTCTTTAGGCTAGCAAAAAATTATCTGAAAAAAATAATAAAAAATCAATCTCATCCACAATAGCATAAAAAATATTTAGAAGTAAACTTAATCAAGGAGGTGAGAGATTGATATACAGACAATGTCCAACTTATGATGGTTTGACTTACAATTTTATGCTGCTGCAAAAGCAATACACATTCAACAGAAACCGTACTTCAATTTCCCACACAACCACTTTACTTTTAACTTTCAGTACAGTGCTCAATAAATTACATGAGCTATTCAACACTGTAATATCAAATAGGCTTTGTCTTAGATTACTTTACCCAACTGTAGGCTAACATAAATGTTCCAAGCACATTTAACGTAGGCTAGGCTAAACTACGATGTTTTGTAGATTATATGTATAAAATGCATTTTCAACTTACAATATTTTCAACTTATAAAGAGTTTATCTGGATATAACTCCATCATGAATAGAGGAACATCTATACTGAAAACTAGAAAACATTGATGAAAGAAATTGTAGGCCACACAAATAAATGACAGGCAACAAAAGCAAAAATAAATGAGATTCTATCCAACTAAAAAGCTTTTGCAGAGCAAAAGAAACAACAGAATGAAGAGAAAATACATGGATTGAGAGAAAATATTTGTAAACCATAATCTGATAAGAGGTTAATAGACAAAATATATAAGAAACTCAAAGAACTCAATAGCAAGAAAACGAATAACCTAACTGGAAATGTGCAAAAAAAATCTAAATAAACACTTCTGTAAAGGAGACAGACAAATAGGCAACAGCTGTGTTAAAAATGCTCATAATTTTTTTTGGCATTGGTAAAGTTTGTGATACATTACTAAATGGGTAAAAAGTAGCAGACAATACCTGGGAGGTGGAGGTTGCAGTGAGCTGAGATTGCACCATTGCACTCCAGCCTGGGCAACACAGAGAGACTCTGTCTCAAGAAGAAAGACAAAGAAAGAAAGAAAGAAAGAGAGAGAGAGAGAGAGAGAGAGAGAGAGAAAGGAAAAAGAAAGAAAGAAAGGAAGGAAGGAAGGAAGAAAGAAAGAAAGGAAAGAAAGAAAGAAAGAAAGAAAGAAAGAAAGAAAGAAAAGAAAAAGAAAGAAAGAAAGAAAGAAAGAAAGAAAGAAAGAGAAAGAAAGGAAGGAAGGAAGGAAGGAAGGAAGGAAGGAAGGAAGGAAGGAAGGAAGGAAGGAAGGAAACAAACAATAGAAATAAGAAAGAAATAATAACAGCCAATGAAGAAATACTTCATTGCATGGTTTGGGGAAAAACATGATACCTATAAACAAAATTAAATTTAAAAATTCTAACAGGACCATATACAGTCCTGTGCCACCTGACAACGTTTTAGTCAGTGATGGACCACATATGGAATGGTGGTCCCATAAGACTGTAATGGAGCAGAAAAACTCCTATTGCCTAGTGGCTTTGTACTGTCCTAAACGTCATAGCACAACACATTAGTCACACGTTTGTGATGAACAAACATACTTTTCTGTCCATCACATAAAACTGTAGCACATACAATTATGTACAGTGTATATTAGTTGAAAATTATGATAAATGACTGTTTTGCTGGTTTATGTGTACTTTTTATGATGATTTTAGAGTATAATCCTTCTACTTATCAAAATATATTAACTGTAAAACAGCCTCAAGCAGGTCCTTCAGGAGTTGTTCCAGAAGAAGGCATTGTTATTATAGAAGACAGATCTTATCATCAAATAAAAATGTGTCTATGGAAGTTTGAGGTAGGATTACTACTGAGCAAGGATATTCAGGTTTGAAGATATGACTTGATCTGTAGTGTTTCCTCTAATCATACCTGTGGTAACTCGGGATTATTAAAGAAAGTTATGGGGATATCAAGCCTGAGGATCTCTGATGAGTGTGGAGGACAGGGCATAAGCTGGGTGGGAGAGTCTCTGGGAAAACTCCTGTCCTCTAGAAGCTGCTGAGAAATTGGGCAGAACATGGGTGGGGGTTCCCACTGTCCTACAGACTC